AAAATTGCAAAAAATGGCGGACGGTCTGGCGGATATGATGGATAAGATCCATAGATCCCGAGATGATAAGAAATTAAGGAGTTTATGCATCAATATCAGCTCAAGGAACCGGCGAAATAATAAGGAGGTAGTTAAACTTAATAGTATTTTTCTATATAAATAAAGTAATTAATATATCCAATATACCTATAGATTCTAATATTACGCTCAGCTTGGAAATGGTTCGAAACTTTTCTTTTCCAAATCAGAAAAATTATTCTATGGAGATACTGGTTGAGTTAATTAACTTAACGGACAAGCTGCCAGAAGAGTCTAAGAATAGAATAGAAAGAAAAGTGATTCCTCATTTTAATGAGGTAAATATCCCAAAAATATTTTATGACATGAATAAAGTTTCTAGATATTTTCGCTAAAATGATCTGTTTGTTTTAAAAGCAGATAAAGGTAGTGCAGTGGTCATCATGGATAGGTTAAGTTATATAGATAAAATGATGGTTCATTTTAATGACTCATATGTATTTGCTAGATTAATAAATTAATAGGGTATTAAAGAGGAGGTTAGTCTTGATGTGGTATCAATGTATACTAACATCCCAGTTCATAAAGCTATTGAAGCACTAATATAGCCTAGATAAGCAGCCAGAAATTATTGGGGAAGCAAATATGGACAGAAGATCAATCTTAAGGCTTCTTAATCTACCCATGACCAGTCTATACTTTACCTTTAAAGAGAAAGTTTATGGACACGTGCAAAGCCTAGCAATTGGATCATGCTTGCCTCCCAATTTGGCTATTAATTACATGTCAAGAATGGAGGACACTTCATGGAAAAGTGTTTCACCATGAAACCTAAACTACTATTTAGATATATGGATAACTACGTTGCCATATGGCAGCATGACAAATATATTTTAGATAATTTCTTGTTTTTGATTACCCATATTGACCGCAATATTAAGTTGACAATAGAGATGGAGTTCAACAATAATTGACCCTTTTTAGATGTGTTAGTATTGAGAGCAGATGAGAAGTTAAGCAGGGATTTCTATATAAAGCTAAAACATGCTGGCATTGTACTTAACTTCTTCTCCAATCATAGTTATAAAACAAAGGTTGGAGTTTTAAAATCTATGATTATTCGGAGCATAAGACTAGCCAATAGAGACCATTGTGACAATGAACTAAATCGGCTTAAAATAATATTTATTGAGAATACTTATCCACTAGGCTTACTTGAAAATAACATTATATTAATAAAGAATAGCTTTGTGAATGGTGAGTATGTAAGGATATATAAATAGACCATTTTTACCTTCGTGCATTCTCTCTAATAGGATAGATGAGCAAGTAAGGAAGTGGAGAATAAAAACCGTCTCTAGGGAAACTACCACACTTTCTTAAGTTATGCCCATTTTTAGAGAGAAAATTGACCAATTATCCAGATCGGGTTGCTACAAAATAATGTCTTCATGTGGTCGCTTTTATGTTAGAGAGACTTGTCGTCTCATTCGACAAAATGTCGCAGAGCATAAAAGCATCTGCAAAGGCCGTTGGGTTCAAAAATTGGAGCTTTCTGAGCACAGGGCAGAAACGTTACACGAGATTGAATGGTCCCAAACTTGTCGTTTTGCTGAATATGGTATGTTTGCGGCTAAACGTAAAATTATAGAACCTATCGAAATAAATCGAAAAGAAAATACATTGGATGTAAGGAATACTGATAAGAAGATAATCAAAAATTACTTGTGCTCAATTAATAGACTGAAGTATAGAAGGAGCTGAGGCGCCTGCAAAAGGCAGGCGACGCAACTAGTCTTTTTTTGTTTGGTTCTGTACTTTTAGCTCACTCTTTCTCTCTCGCATTGAGACCAAAATAAAAAAAAGCTCATCAACAAAATCAGACGAATGTCCGACCTTGCGATCAATGTGGGCTTCGTACATAAACGAATACAAACAGGAACATACACATACAGACACAGACATACTCACAGACATATGAACATCGCATAAAAGCCAAATTGCTGCAATACAACCGTATTCAGCAGTCCTTTTTTGGTGAGATCGACCTAAGAATCTTTTCTTCATAAACTTTATTACGAAATGAAAGTCCCTCCAACAATGTTATCTCAGAAGATTAATCTAAATCCAGTTACTCTCCGTATCTATCTATAATCCCTCGTATTCCTCACTCGTTTTCCTCATATTCAGCTATTTATCTCCATCACTGGCCCAAATTAATAAGGAAACATGCTTAATTGCTTTAACGAGAACGGTTCTGAAACTGTTACTCCAATTTGGCTGTGTATGATCCATCGATTTCGGCCTCCAGAGATTCACTCCCCTGACTGGCCCCAAAAGTAAGATGGCACGTATGAACCTCTGAACTAACCGACCACAACATCATCTGTAATGCAGCAGTCCTCACTAAGGCAATCATGGCTTCTATAGTGGTCGACCCGGTGGTTCCAAAAAGGCCTTTCCCTACCCGGAAAAGATTAATTAATGAATGTTGAAACTTTGTCTTAGGTGTGGAGTTCATATATTTTAACTCAAGAACAATTTACTATTGTGTATAATGCTTCGCAAAATATTAGATATGTGTACTTTTATGCTTTTATGCTTTTATGCATTAAAAATATTACCTTATAATTTAATATTGACAATATATCATAATATTGCTCATATGCTCGAGCAAATTTGTATAGACAAGATGCTCAATAATTTTTGGCAATTGATAATTTATAGTTAGTTTAATTTATATTATATACCACCGCTTGTCAACTATAGCGGTCCACACAATGTCAGAATTTGTGCCCTTTCCTGGTAGGATTCTTTACCCCTCCAGAGAATTAGCTCGAATGCGTCTTGATCTTATTTCCCGTGTAAATAATTTAGCAATGCGGGACAGACGTATTAAGCGTCTTATCGATATCCATAGTCGCTTTCCGCCCAATGTAAAACTTCTCAACGAACAGCTTTTCACTCTTTTAGATGAGGAGTTGTTAAATAATGCTAGAGAATATCAGGGATTGAATCAGTCCTCAACAGAATCCACTCCTGGTGTATATCAAAAAAGGAAGTCACATGATGCTGAATCAGACCTTAACAATAAGCGGAGAAAGATAGGAGCTTTGGCTGAAAGTGCCTATTTCTCAATGAATCACAGCAGTATGGCATACTTTATATGTATCTATGTATAACCTCAAGAGGAAAAATTTTTTAGTTGTGACAATTGTACTATCAGCAAATTGAGCCGAAAATCTGCAAGCGATCACCTTCAAGAATCAGGCCATTGTTCCTGCAGTAGTTATACTCTATCTGATAATAATTCCAGTGAAGCTCAATCGATGAATGAAAATTCATTTTCGTTGCACATAGCAAGAGAGTTGTATTCAAGTAAAGGAGCCTCTACTAAATGGAGTCCGGTCGAAAATAATCTTGTCGCTTATTGTCCCACATGCTTTATTCTCCTATCTGATAAGGTATTAATCCTAATTGATGACTACTATATAACTATCAAATTTCTAAGTGATAGCTTTCAAATCTTAGGTATTGTCCATCCTAATCGATTTTTTAAATTTGTATTGTGTTATCTTGCCGAGTCAGTTAATTCACTTACATTTTTAAATTTGTGAGCGTTAGTATTATTCTGAGTATGCTAATTAATCATTCACTTTATTTACCACGTTTTGGTGATCCAAAATTTGTAAATTTTCCAGTAGTACAGGATGATAGACATCCGTCACAGATTATGTTACACATATTAGCAAATTACTTGTTAAAGCGAAGTAGGTATGCATAGTTTACTTTTCCATTTTCATGATCCACTCAAACACTTTACGCAGTAGTAATAGGTCTAGTAACTCCTCAATCACAAGTGCTGCTACCATACGTCCACGTCTTTCCCTGGTCAGTCCTAAATTGTTCCATGTTGGAGACCCTTTATTTCATTTGAAGGGGAAAGTGGAAGGGCTTCATGAGTTGGCCTCACCCGAAGCTGCAGGGGGATTGTCATGGAGCTGGGGTTGTATATTTGTGAGAGTATGTCATCGGCGCACCGCCCTGTGGCGCCGATGAATCCTTGTTGAGCTTTCGTTCGTCATGTAATGGACATCGTCAGAGCAGAAAATCATGCTTTACGATGATTCACGAAGTACAAATATAAGCAAGGTAGCCGGCTGCAATCCTGTTTACCACTTAGTGGGACATCTCGTGATTTTGTCAGGGTTCTATGCTTTTCCTACATACTGCTGAAAAGTTAATTTGGCTACTGATGACGTGAATTCGATGCAATTATGACCGAATAGCTGAATCCTTCCCTTCAAGCCTCCTTTTACTCATCGGTACTTCTCGTTCTCTCTCTCTTTTTCTCATTTTGTCCAACAGCCACACATAGCTTCCACCTAATTTCCTACACGTTCCTTTTATTTAGGGTGTTTGCTATTTTGTTGCTTTATATCCAGCTATGCGTTTGGTATTAGACCAATTTATTAGGTTTCCTGTGAATATCGTTCATATTCTGCCATATTGTTACGCAGTCTTCCTTCCTTGGGTCTTATTAGAGCCTCCGTCTTACCTCGCAGGATCCACTTGTTATCGCCGTAGTTGAATTATTTCACTTGACTCCTGCCAGTCCATCTTTGCTACTCGAGGCGTTATTTCCAACACTGCGTCTGGAAAACTAACTCGAGGCCAAAGCCCCTAAGTAATTGTCATGGTCAAATCTTTGCTCCATGGACCACGTCTATGGTAAAACAGGCCTACTGTCAGTCGACTAGCTCTAGTCTCCGCCGCGTGTAGCCTGTTTATATCCCTAATACCAAGTCTATGACTTGCTATGCCCTATTCTCTTGTGTGCCAACCCACAAATGTTGCGGTACTTCTTGCTTTGATTAGGTTTAACGTTGAGCCACAACAATTGCGGGTTAGCACACAAGAGACCAGGGCATTTGAAATCATAGACTTGGTATTAGGAATAGAAACAGGATAGACGCGGCAGCTCCTAGAGCTAGTTGACTGACAGTAGGCCTGTTTTACCATACCCGTGGTCCATAAAGCAAAGGCTTGGTCATGACAATTACTCAGGGGCTTTGGCCGCAAGTTAATTTCTTAGACGCAGCGTATGGTGAATAAAACCTCGAGTAGCACAGATAGGGTGTCAGGAGTTGAGTGGAATACTTGAACATGGGAGATAGTAAACGGGTCCTACGGGACAAGAGGAAGACTCTAATAATACCTAGGGAAGAAGGTCTGCATAACGATATGGCGGACTCTGATCAACATTCCCAGCATAAGGGTGGATGGGGGTGAGAAAACCAGCGTGTAGTATGGATAGTTTTCATGAAAGCCTCTCAAAAATGCACACTACCACATTTAAATAAGCAAGTAAAAATGGTGATAGTGGAGGCATAATACGATGATATAGGATAGGGGAATAGCCAAGGACAGAAGGAGAGATACCATAAGTGTTTAGCACACATTTGGTCAAAGGACCGGTTTCACTTGTCTATTTGACGAGTTTTAGTGTGGTGCTAGAACTGTAAAGACTCACTGACGATGCCGGCAAAACATCTGGGAATGTACCACGTCCACAGTCCGATTCTGGAAATTGTCATGCATACAATGGACTTCGGACTAGGTGCGTACCTACTAATGTGTCTTCATACCAATATGATAAGGTTGAGAATTCAAGGTCAAACGATATTTATGCAACGAAAGGAGACTAAGACCACATAAAAGAAAACACCGTCTTAGTCTTCATATCTTCGCTTATTTAATTTTGTCTACTGCATCTTGCTTTCTATCTGTGGCCTGCTTTTATTTATCCGTTCTTATTAATATTTCATATTTAAATCGATTTCATAACTTTTATATTTTTCTCAGATCGCATGTGCCTACCATCATCAGATAAGTCATCCAGGATTTCAGCCCCGTTATGCATTCGGCCCTTTCGTGTCTTTATTGAAATTGCGGATTTCGCATAATCTTCAATCGGATTCGCAACGCACGCTCTGGGTGGCGCCTTCTCAGAGAGTAAACTTTTGTCCTAATTCTGCTTTATGGTCCCCTATAACATCAATTCAACTAAATCCATCGATTCATGTGTGTCATATTACTTGTGATAGCTGTGACTACCAGGAATTTGTATATCTTCCGGCTCTATCTAATTCCAATAAACGTTCCTCTAAAGATGAAACTCTTGCTAAAAGGCAGACAAAAATCGCTCATGCCGTTCGGGCTCATTCACTGAAGCATATCTATCGAAGTCCTAAATCGATATCTTTTACTTATTTTAACCTTGAGTTTGTAGAAGTTAAATCAGAATGGCGTAATATTTTAAACGAAGGAAAAGGCGGAACTTTTCCTTCCCTCGATGACGTACGCAAAGAAAGAACTGTTTTATTTCTCTTCCACGAGGCTAATCGTATGAAATCCTTCCTACATGGTATAAAGGGAAGTCATAAAGGCCTAATCAAAGTAGTAAGAGATGAATGTGCAAGTATGCAGGCTCTGCTTAATCGCCTCATAGGACAAAAACCATCTAGATAAATTTGTGTATAGTAACTAAATACATATTGCTAGTTCTAACGAAAAAACTCCTTTGATTTTTATTACAATTTTATGTGGTATTACTTTTATATGGAGTACTAAATTAAGGTTGCTGGCACATTTCCTTACCCATATGAGTGTAATAGTTGTATAATTTCCGAGCAAGAGCTCAGTCTTAGGTCACTTATGATGATTCAAGGGCGAGTATTTGAGTTCGCTCATCGTGAGATGATTGGTTCTCGTGACCATGAGGAATTTTATTTAGCCGTTCCTTTCAAAAAGCTCTTTCATTCCAGGTGATTTGCGGTTTCGATCTCATTTAGGTTCTTTAGCACCCTCAAATCGAGTTTGATACCGGGTCGTGAGAATCGTAGCGATGTTATCAACACTACCTATTTACAGACCTTGGTAAGTGACGGGGCATACATGGTACTTGAGTATGATTCGGAAGAGCTCTTCTCTTATTGAATGTTGCATCTTCCCTATGAACCATATGCATCCTTAATTGTGTAGTCGAATCCTGACGTTCCAAAGAGTCACAACCTCGCACCAAATAACATGAGGCCTACCATGTAAATTTGAGCAACCTGTACTGACTAAGTTCATATTCAGGAATCACTGGTAGTCTCGGTACCTATTTATACTGAAAATAAGTTTAATTTTCGTTTTCTGTAATTTGCTGAATTTCGGAATATCAAAAATTAAATGCATACACCTCAAGACTTATAAGTATTTCCATGTGATGACATCTATATATTTTTTAAATATTGTCTTAATGTAAGGTTGTACATTTAAACTTTAACCTTATTGAAAAGGTAGAGTGTGATATTTATTAAAGCCAAGGAATGGAGTATATAGTAGGACTGAATTTACAGAGCATTTAGGAAGGTTTAAGATAAGTACTGGTTTAGCGGAAACAATCTACTTCGCTTTTAGCTGTTTGTTCATTCCCATAATCAGATGATTAGGCCTCGCTAAGCCTTGTCTCCCAAAAGGCTATCTTATCCAGACTGGACTACAGTTGATATCGTATCTAGGTCTCATCAAAACCCCAAGCAAGATTTCACAGCAGGTTGATGATAAAACAAGAGCGAGGTCGAATTTGCAGTCCAGATTAAATGAAATTTCGTTTTGGGAGGCAAAGTTAAGTAAAATTAATTCGCATCGTGGGGACTAATCAGCTAAATGGGTAAACTATTATTAGGACTTAGATCACTTTATGCGACCTGAAGTGACTAAGCTCTTATTTAAAGAGTATTGTTAGTCTCTAAATCTAACTATGTCGAACATGAATTTCTGTATTAATTAATCCGTTGATATTTGGCTCAACTTTTGCAACCAG